CAACAGTATTGTTCTCGCAATACTCTTCCCACACTAACGGCACATGTCCTGATGGACATGTGTGTCAGACACGTTCAAACGGCTGAACACCCGCGTTAGAAAGGGAGAGGGCGAAAGAGAGCGAATTCGCCGCAACTGCATCAGGGCCGGTTTTCGGTCTGAATGGACAGTTGTTGTGAGGGCGCATATAACATGCTTACGGGCATTTTGTATGCCCATTCGTGAACATACATATATATATATGTTTATAATCATAAACATACACATATATGCATGCTCACAAGTGGATGCTTCTATGGCTCCTCACAATATATATGTATATATATATATATATATAAATATATATAAATATTTATTTATATGCCAATGAAAAAATTAAAAAAAAGGCCCCTGGCTATGATGGCATTGACGGCAGAGTTGCTAAGGCCCTCCCAGAGAAGGGAGTGATGTTCTTGGTGCTACTTTTTAACACCATGGTTCGCATCCACCACTTTCCCACTCCGTGGAAGTGCGCTGTGATTGCGATGATTCCGAAACCTGGCAAACCGGATAATCTTGTTTTGTCATATTGACCGGTAAGCTTGCTGTCCAGTTTCTCCAAGATATTTGAAAAAATATTTCTGGGAAGATTGTCGGCAGTGGCTTCCAGAGGGCCATTCCTGATCATCAGTTTGGCTTCAGGCATCACCATGGTACACCCGAGGAAGTTCATCGAGTAATACAGCATGTCCTCGAGGCCTTGGAAAATAAGCAGAACAGCTCTGCCGTGTTTCTGGATATCCAGCAGGCATTTGATCGCGTATGGCATGATGGCCTGAATTTGAAGCTTAAGTCCTTGCTACTATCGGCGCAGTATTTACTGCTCAGGTCTGGCTTACTTGGCCGTTCTTTTATGGTAGAAGTGGAGAGCAGCTGCGGTTATGCAGGGGTTCTTGGATGGCTTTAGTACTTGGGCCAGCCGGTGGAACATCTGCGTCAACGGGAGTAAATCTCAGCACTGCACGTTTACGCTCAGGAATGGTAACTGTCCTACTGTTCGACTCAACAACATGGTCATACCTCAGGAGAACCATGTTCGCTACCTGGGTATGTATCTGGACAGGAAACTTACCTGGCGCAAACACATCCATATCACGGCAGCAGCGTGTAGATAAAAAAAAAACGAAACTCAACTGGTTGCTGAGGCCATCTAGCAAACTCAGCTTGAGCAACAAGCTGCTGGTGTACAGGAGCATCATCGTACCCACATGAACATATGGGATTCCATTTTGGGGCACAGCTTCAAAATCTTGGATAGACCAAATTCAAGTCTTGCAGAACAAGGTGCTCAGAGACATCTCTGGTGCTACCCCATACGTAAGTAACAGGACGCTGCACAACGCCTTCGCTCTACAGACAGTCGCACAACAAATTAACCGTCATACGTGTCGGTATAATGACCGGTTGTATAACCACATCAACCCTCTGGCTTGCACACTTGGATCTAATACAACGCGCAGGAGGTTGAAGCGCCTCCACACCAGCTACCTCTGGACTGGGCGATCAATTAATGTGCTACAAATGTAATATTTAATGTTATTTATTATCTGCTAAAACCAGTTCTATGTTTATGTTATAGATTTTAATTCACTGCTATTTTTCATTCATACCTTTACAAATCAATGTTTTATAGCCTTTCAATAGGTTGATTAATGTTTAAATAAATTGCTACATAAAAAAAAAAAAAAAAAAAGCCTGACATTTTCTGTTATAACTAAACTGAGTTGACACGATTACGAAAGCCCATGTAACATACATTCATATATATAGTTCATTATATATATATATAAATATATACATATATATTTAAACAAATAATATTAAATGCGCTTAGTAAACGATTTAGCCTTATAAAAATGCATAGAACACATAATAGTTAATAACAATAATATTGAAAGCGACACAACACTAAAATGTAAACTTAGTCAACTGAACTAAAACAGACTCAAAGTGGAACATAAGAATCGAGAAGCGAGAGTGAAGCTGTTGTTAATCTAGCCCCGATGCTAGGCCCGCAGTAGTAGTAGTACGTATTTACGAGTGTAAAATTCAGAAATGCAAAATAACAATTTAACAATTTTTAGTAAGCCTACTATTAATGAAAATGCATTAACAACTTACACATATTTTACCTTTAATGCGTACACTTAGTACATGTTTTGAAGCAAAACTTATAAAAAAAAAACCAGAAATAGGATTGATAAAAAATTATATATGAGTGAGTTTTTGTATTTACGTTGAGCTGGAGCAGGAATATCGTGAAGAGGACAATGCCAGATACCTGCAGGACTCAGAGAAAACAAACGAACTGCATTCAAGGATTATGAAGTCATCTAAGAATCTAAACACTCGAAAATGTTATTATGCATTATGAAGTTCCATTCATTCGCCAGTTCACCAGATATTTGATCATTTTTGTAGGTAACCAGAATCTATATATCCCAAGAGTGAAATGAAATAATTGCTCAGCGAATATTATTCTTTTGTCCAAATACCGTAAAAAGCAGTTCTTCTTGCCAAAAAGCTTCTTCGACTCGACTTATCGATAATCAATAAGCAAAACTGAAAAGCCTTGTTTACATTTACATTCATGCATATATTGGATATTGACAGCAATGTCAAATAAGCCATCAATTTTTTAAAATTTCAAAATGTCATTTTGATCGAAATGTTAACATAGAAATTTACCTTGTCACAAATATCAATTGATAAAATTATTTGCTTGTGAGCGGATTTAGTTTTTTTCTTACGCATTTTGCAGACTTCTGTTCTGTGTTGCAGTCTCAAGAGCAAAAACATATAATATTATATAATTGAATTAAATTGTAGAAGAGAAAAAGGTGCAGCTGATAAATGGTAAATCAAACATTGCGAAAAGGAAGAAACTAAAAGCAACCAATTATCAATTCACAGTTGACAATAATTTGCTGAGGACGAGAAGCCTCGGGCTTGTGTCTGACATTATTGAAGTTGTGGTTTGAGGTTTGTGGTTGGCTTTGGTTTTTGGTTTTTGGGACAAAATAAGCACCCGAAGCATCAACAAATTATTTGATTTTTAAAAATAATAATATATATAAATATATATATCCATATATCTCCATATAATATAGAACATAAGAACAATGGCATGCAACAAACCAGTCAATGGCGTCGTCCAGCCACCGACTGTGCAGCGGTTGGATCGACCGGGACGCCATACAAATCAACTGGAATATATCTTAAAAACGGTTATGAAGTCCTTGTGGAATCATCATTATGCGTATCCCTTCCAACAGCCGGTCAATGCGAAAAAACTAAAGCTGCCCGACTACCATGATATCATTAAACAGCCAATGGACTTGGCTACGATTAAGAAGCGATTGGCGAACAATTACTATTGGTCCGCCACGGAGGCTGCCGCCGATATAAACTTGATATTCACCAATTGTTCCCTGTACAATAAGCCCACAGAGGATGTTATCATTATGGCCAAAGTGCTCGAGAGTGTCTTTCTGCAGGCAATCAAAGATATGCCCAAGGAGGAGCTCGAACTGGGGTCCGTCGCGGTCAAGCAAGGCAACAAAAATCAACGCGCACCGACCTCCCCTAAAACAGCAGCATCTGCGGCGGCAGCGATGGCAGCCGTCCAAAGCGCAAATAATAGCAGGAATAGCAGCAACAGCATCAGCACCAAGAGTAAGAATTTAACACTGGCAGCAACAACAGCAAAAAACAGCAACAGCAACAACGACAGGAAGAGCGTCAGAATCCTCCAGGGCACAAAAGCTGGTGGCGGTAGCAGCAGCGGCAGCCCAAGTCCAGGCAGCAGCATCAGCATCAGTAGCAGCTGCAAAAGTGCTGGCAGCGGCAGTTGCAGCATTGGATGGTGATCCCATAATGGCCATCCAGTCGACTCTGAATAGTATGGGTCAAAATGCCGTCCAGCCCGTCCAAATGCAGAAGGGCGTCAAACGAATTGCGGACGCGAATGCATTTGAATCGCACATGGCCAAGGTGGCCAAAACAGCCATGAGGCAGGACGATAATTGCCAGGAAGATAAGAGCCATAACTGATGCAAAAGTTTCTCCTTTATCGCTTTATCGCACTACTTGGTTCTCGTGCTTACTTTTCCGAGTCTTTCGCATCGTTTTCAACTGCTTTTGCCAAGGCTCTTATGATATTACAGATTTGATCGACTCGACAAAGTGCATATATTCTAGAATCTAGATCGGCGTTAATAGTCAAGTCCATATGGCCATGTCCGCCTCTATTATTCTTTAAATATCCATATTTGTTTCCTGTTAAATTATCCATTAGTACGATCTGACTACTACATCATTTATATAACTACCATAGTTATCGGTCGGTCGCTTAACTTAACAATTAAATATTTTCTGTCAGCAGGTGTACTCCGCATTATATAAGCAAAATAATATTTTGCTTATTATTATTTTTACTTTGCAGGGCTCGGTAGGGTATCCGCGCGGCAACGCCTGGTCTTTACTCAAGCCTGTACCTTCTCTTGCCGGAAGAGCGGGTGCCGGCGGTTAGGCAGGCGTTAATCCGGGCGTGGGTATTTCAGCTGGGGGTGGTAAAGCGCACGCTAATGCACTGGCGAGCTCCCTCGCAGCTGGTGTTGCGGCCAGAGCTGGCGGCTCTTGTGGCACCAGCAAAGGTGCTAAAAGCCAGGGACAGCGTGGAGGCAAGGGCAATGCGAGCGTCAGTGGAGCAGGCCCAGCGGGTGCCAATGCTGCGAATGCAGTGGCTATCGCTGCAAATGCAACTGCGGCTGCCACAACTGGTGGAGGCACCACAAATGCCAGACGCACCGAGAACAATGACAATAATGCCAGCAACGCCGGTACTGTAGCTGTTGGCGCCGAGAAGAAGGACACAGTCAAGCCCATGTCTAACCATGAGAAGCAACAGCTAAGTGCATACATTAATAAGTAGCGATAAAGCGATAAAGGAGAAACTTTTGCATCAGTTATGGCTCTTATCTTCCTGCCTCATGGCTGTTTTGGCCACCTTGGCCATGTGCGATTCAAATGCATTCGCGTCCGCAATTCGTTTGACGCCCTTCTGCATTTGGACGGGCTGGACGGCATTTTGACCCATACTATTCAGAGTCGACTGGATGGCCATTATGGGATCACCATCCAATGCTGCAACAGCCGCTGCCAGCACTTTTGCAGCTGCTACTGATGCTGATGCTGCTGCCTGGACTTGGGCTGCCGCTGCTGCTACCGCCACCAGCTTTTGTGCCCTGGAGGATTCTGACGCTCTTCCTGTCGTTGTTGCTGTTGCTGTTTTTGCTGTTGTTGCTGCCAGTGTTAAATTCTTACTCTTGGTGCTGATGCTGTTGCTGCTATTCCTGCTATTATTTGCGCTTTGGACGGGTGCGATCGCTGCCGCCGCAGATGCTGCTGTTTTAGGGGAGGTCGGTGCGCGTTGATTTTTGTTGCCCCGCTTGACCGCGACGGACCCCAGTTCGAGCTCCTCCTTGGGCATATCTTTGATTGCCTGCAGAAAGACACTCTCGAGCACTTTGGCCATAATGATAACATCCTCTGTGGGCTTATTGTACAGGGAACAATTGGTGAATATCAAGTTTATATCGGCGGCAGCCTCCGTGGCGGACCAATAGTAACTGTTCGCCAATCGCTTCTTAATCGTAGCCAAGTCCATTGGCTGTTTAATGATATCATGGTAGTCGGGCAGCTTTAGTTTTTTCGCATTGACCGGCTGTTGGAAGGGATACGCATAATGATGATTCCACAAGGACTTCATAACCGTTTTTAAGATATATTCCAGTTGATTTGTATGGCGTCCCGGTCGATCCAACCGCTGCACAGTCGGTGGCTGGACGACGCCATTGACTGGTTTGTTGCATGCCATTGTTCTTATGTTCTATATTATATGGAGATATATGGATATATATATTTATATATATTATTATTTTTAAAAATCAAATAACTTGTTGATGCTTCGGGTGCTTATTTTGTCCCAAAAACCAAAGCCAACCACAAACCTCAAACCACAACTTCAATAATGTCAGACACAAGCCCGAGGCTTCTCGTCCTCAGCAAATTATTGTCAACTGTGAATTGATAATTGGTTGCTTTTAGTTTCTTCCTTTTCGCAATGTTTGATTTACCATTTATCAGCTGCACCTTTTTCTCTTCTACAATTTAATTCAATTATATAATATTATATGTTTTTGCTCTTGAGACTGCAACACAGAACAGAAGTCAGCAAAATGCGTAAGAAAAAAACTAAATCCGCTCACAAGCAAATAAATTTATCAATTGATATTTGTGACAAGCAGTTGACAACTAAGGTAAATTTCTATGTTAACATTTAGATCAAAATGACATTTGGAAATTTTAAAAAATTGATGGCTTATTTGACATTGCTGTCAATATCCAATATAAGCATGAATGTAAATGTAAACAATGCTTTTCAGCCTTGTTTATTGATTATCGATAAGTCGAGTCGAAGAAGCTTTTTGGCAAGAAGAACTGCTTTTTACAGTATTTGGACAAAAGAATAATATTCGCTGAGCAATTATTTTATTTCACTCTTGGGATATATAGATTCTGGTTACCTACAAAAATGATCTAATATCTGGTGAACTGGCGAATGAATGGAACTTCATAATGCATAATAACATTTTCGAGTGTTTAGATTCTTAGATGACTTCATAATCCTTGAATGCAGTTCGTTTGTTTTCTCTGAGTCCTGCAGGTATCTGGCATTGTCCTCTTCACGATATTCCTGCTCCAGCTCAACGTAAATACAAAAACTCACTCATATATAATTTTTTATCAATCCTATTTCTGGTTTTTTTTTTTTATAAGTTTTGCTTCAAAACATGTACTAAGTGTACGCATTAAAGGTAAAATATGTGTAAGTTGTTAATGCATTTTCATTAATAGTAGGCTTACTAAAAATTGTTAAATTGTTATTTTGCATTTCTGAATTTTACACTCGTAAATACGTACTACTACTACTGCGGGCCTAGCATCGGGGCTAGATTAACAACAGCTTCACTCTCGCTTCTCGATTCTTATGTTCCACTTTGAGTCTGTTTTAGTTCAGTTGACAAAGTTTACATTTTAGTGTTGTGTCGCTTTCAATATTATTGTTATTAACTATTATGTGTTCTATGCATTTTTATAAGGCTAAATCGTTTACTAAGCACATTTAATGTTATTTGTTTAAATATATATGTATATATTTATATATATATATAATGAACTATATATATGAATGTATGTTACATGGGCTTTCGTAATCGTGTCAACTCAGTTTAGTTATAACAGAAAATGTCAGACAATTCTAATGCTAAAATTTCATTTGCCATATCCAGGATATGAGTCCATACGTGGCCTGTTAAATTATATATAAACTTAGTCATATTTATATGCATAACTTGTATAGATGTACATTTATGTATGTATTAATCGGTATTAATGGATAGTAAGTAACACTGATTTTCATTTATTTGTTTTTGTTCTTGTACATTTATTTCATTTGTTTTTTTTTTTTGTTATATTGTTATATGTTGTTATATGTATATATATATTTATATATATATATGTATAAATTTATATATATATATAGATATCACAGCTAAGGCCATCTTCCCTGCGGGAAGACCATCGTGGGACCCAGCACGGATAACTGACACCATCAGCGACAAATTTGCAGCAATCAAAGCGTCAGCGACAAAGTCGTAACGATCAGCAGAAGCAGCAGTCCAAGGTTTAGTGATGATAAGTTAGAGTTTATGAATTCAGTCTAAATAAAATATTCGAACAGTAAAAACCGTGAGGACTCGATTAATTGGCGCCCGAGCAGGGACCGGTACGGAAGTAAGAGATATCGCGAGTTAGTGAAAGTGATTTAACCACTGCGCAAATACGAACATACCTCCGCGAAACAGGACAGTGTCGAAAAGTGCAAATTCTATCAAAGCGCCTCAAATAGCCGCAGATACGAACAAAGGCCAGTGCCAGTTCTATTAAAAGCGACTCAAGTAGCCGCAGATACGCACAACACAGGTTGATCAAAAGCGCCTCAAGCAGCCGCAGATCTAAACCCAAAAAAGTTTCAAAATATATCCGTACCGATGCCACAACAACACCGCCGACAACCCTGTAGTGTCCATCCGCAGGGTACCGTGAGTGAAGTATCCAGGGGAACCTGAGTCAACCATCTCGACTCGAAATCGTCGTGGGACAAAATGGATCAATTCTAAAAGATCGTCGCGGGAGATTCTCCTGAATGCTGATTACCCTGTAAGCATAGTAACTAAGAAAAAATCTAAGAGTCGAAGATAGAAAAACTAATAATAATAGAATAAAAAATAAAAATATAAAAAAAATAAAATAAAAATAAATAAATAAAATTTAAATTAAGATTTAAAAATAAATAAAAATTAAGGTAAAGCTAAATATGAATAAAAATAATTAAAAAGAGAATCATGAGCAGGAGGAATTTAATAGAGGAATTACATGCACATGCGACAGTACTCATCATCGAATAAAAGATATAAATTTCTATTGACAGTTATTGATACGTTTTCAAAATATGCATGGGGACAAGCATTGAAAACAAAATCTGCGAAAGAAGTTGAGCGTGCATTCTTGGGTATTCTTAAGGAGAATCGAATTCCAAAGAATTTACAGACCGATGATGGAAAAGAATTTTTTAATACAGACTTTAAGAGTTTGTGTAGAAAACATAACATCAATCATTACTTAACTTTTAGTGGTCTTAAGGCGTCAATTGTTGAGCGTTTTAATAGAACGCTTAAGGAGATGATGTGGAGACAGTTTAGTTATAATGGAACATGTTGTTGGATTACAATTTATAAACAATTGATAATTGAGTACAATCGAAAACATCATAGAACAATTCAAATGAGACCTGTTGATGTTAATTCGTTGAATGAGAGCAATTTATTGAATACTGCCTACAATCGTATTAAAATCTTCAATGACAGTAAATTTGATGTTGGAGACTATGTGCGTATTAGCAAGCATAAACATACATTTGAAAAGGGGTGTACACCGAACTGGTCAACAGAAATTTTTAAAATAAATCAAATACAAAATACCAATCCAACTACATACATACTGGAAGACTATCAAGGTGCAGTTCTGAAAGGAGGTTTCTATAATGAAGAGTTGAGGAAAACAAAATTTCCAAACACGTACTCTATTGAAAAGATAATAAGGCGTCGAAATGATTGAGTTTTAGTTAAATGGCTTGGGTTCTCAAATGATCATAACTCTTGGATAAATATCAATGAAGTTTTATAAAAAAAGGACTTAAAAATGTACGTGTGCGTACTATTAATAGATTAAAGTTTCATGAAAAGTATTGATTTGTGATTGACCTGTCAGTAATTTCGTTTAAAACTTTCGGATATGTGCATTAAGGTTTTCGGTACTCAATATAGGGAATTTTGGATATAAAAAAGCGTCTTGAATACAAGTATCTCATTCAAAAAGATGTCGACGAACATTCAAGAGCTGTTCAACTTTATGGACGACGATGAGAATTCAATGGATTTTGATTTGAGACAGCTGATGCTCTGGCCGATTCCAATTAAAGAAACAACTAAGGAAGTGAATCCTCAATTCACACCAGAGCTGTGTCCATCGGAATGGATTGAGCTCCTAGAAATTTCTCCCAGAGAGAAACGGAAAATTGGGGAGGAGGAGGACGCTTCGTTCTACAAGAAGCAAACGGTTGAAGAATGGAGCCCACCTTCGCTGTGCTTCTTGCCGAGGAGCCCATTGCTGAGGAATAAGAACATTTTTTTATGCTGATGGACTAGAAAATTCACCAGAATTTTTAAACTTTATTGAAAATATTTAATAATAATAATAATATACTTTCATAAAGTACATGTGTCTTAAAATTAAACTATATCAATAAGAATAAACAAATTTTCACATTTGAAAACATTTTATTTATAAATAAATAAATTATATTATGAAAATTAGAAGAAAAAAAACAGTTATTTTATTTAAACATTTTAAACTCTATAAACCTAGGTATGAAGCCCGTAGGTGCACAAAGCAACGCAGGCTATTATTTCAAATTATTGTGAAACTATCATATGGAGGGTCACTCAAACAGAGTGCATTGAAAAAAGGAAGAGAACCAAACACACCAGCACGTGACAAACGTACGTGCGAAGTACCTACTTAACAACAATTTACACCAATAATACTTTAATTATTGTGTGGGATAACATTCAGGTGTGAGGTGTCCTATGAGTTCTATACATTGACAAAAAAGTGACAAAAGAGAAGCGAGCATTACCTTTCCACTGATCATTGCACCCACCCTCAAAAATCAAATCATGTACATGTACAACAGTGCGGCAGATGCTACCTGATTTTCCACTTGATTCTAGCACACAGGTTACAGGTTACACGCCTAGCAGACAATATCCTCCTTAAAAACACAATCACGTACGCACATACAAGTGCCGCTGAGTGATCCCCCACCTGCTGTCAACCCACAATAAAAAAAGGGTAAGCCATAAATCATACCCTTCGATCATAAGTGTCTCATACGTGATCCAAAACCACACATTTTTCTAAAAAAAAAAGGTTACACTCCTGTCACTGCCCCACCCAAAAGCAATAAATTAGTCCCAATAATGAAGCAATTAAAAATCAAAAATGCAATAACCCGCTTCCTGTCATAGAATCCCCAATTCCCTACTACTAATCCGGTGAAAAGTGGAATCTCCTGGGTCATATTTTTTGATTGATGAAACGGAGTTGGATGTATATAAGAAAATCTTATCAAAAACCAATGTCCATAGAAAAAATTATTTTCGTCATGGCCCGGTTATGGCAAAAATCGTTAAAAAAAGTACGCCGAAATAAAAAAAAACGTTTCTGAAAAAAGTATGATCCAAGTGCAATATTTTTACCTCTAAATAAGAAATCCATACATAAGGGTGGAAAATTGCGGTCCTCAGTTCGACTTATGTATTTGGGATGATCCAAATTAGATCATTGATAGACTTAAACTTTTAGTTGCCTCACAGGCAGCTCGTAATACTTATCATATTAATAAAATTGTTTCGATGATTGGTAAAGCAAAAATGATTTATTGAATAAATAATACTGCACTTAACAGTTTAGTAATGTCAAAATATTGCGATTGTGGCGACACTTTGTTACTGGTAAACGAACCGGTAGCATACCCAACATCATTTTCAGCATACCCTAAAAAATGACATTAAGAAAGTAATTTCTTTCTATTTGTGCGTTGGTTGGCTGCCGCCGCTGCCGTCTTCTCCGCCGAAGATGCCGCTTTTTTAGGGCGGCCACGGTGACATGGCGGTGGTTCATTGGATGACATTGTTATCTTGTCCTATCTTATATGGACATATGTGGACTTACGGATATATATTCATATATATATATCAAATAATTTGTTGATACTTTTGTTGCTTATTCTGCCCCAAAAACCAAAACAAACCACAAACCACAATTGCAATAATGTCACACACAAGCCCGGGGCTTTCTCGTCCTCATTGAATTATTGTCAACTGTGAATTGATAATTGGTTCTCTCTAGTTTCCTCCTTTTCGCAATGTTAGATTTTAAAACAAATAAAATAAAGATACAAGAACAAAAAAAATGATAAACAGTTTTCCTTATCCTTACTATTCATATATACCGATTAATACATACATAAATCAACATCTAAACAAGTTATGCAGATAAATATGACTACGTATATATATATTTTAACAGGCCACGGATGGACTCATATGGAGCCTTTATCCTGGATATGGCAAATGAAATTTGCGCATTGGGGGAAGCTGCACCGCGACCTATTTTATCTATGGTGTCCAATACACTAGAATTGTCTCAACGCCATCAAATAGATGTAATGTTGGTCTGCGAGTCTCACTACTGCTCCAGATCGCACTACAGGCTACCAGGTTACGATATTCACCTTGCCAATCATCCTTCGGATCGCATGCGTGGCGGAGCAGCAGTGATCATAAAATCTTCACTGCAATACCATGCGCTGACTTCATTAAGTTGGCCATGCGCACAATGTGCTGTCGTTAAAGTCTCTAGTGATCAAGGCGAAGTAGTCTTGGCGGCTGTCTATTGTCCACCACGTTTTGTGTGGCAAATTGAAGACTTCAGGTGTCTCTTCGAAGAGCTTGGCTCCAAGTTCTTGATTGCTGGAGACTGGAATGCTCAACACCATCTCTGGGGTGCAGCGTTGGACACTCGCCGTGGGATTGCGCTTGCGGATTGTGTGAGAGACTGCAACCTCCAAGTACTTGCCACGGGAGATGCAACACACTACTCGTACGGCAACCATAGGCCAACAGCAATAGACTTTGCTGTCTACGCTGGGATCCGGTCTGACTGTCTTGGTATGTACGAGAGAATTGAGCTTAACTCCGATCACATCCCTTTGATAGTTGAGTACAGAGTGGCTGCAGCTCTGAATGCTCCCAAGACACGTCTTCTGCCGCGCAAGGCAAACATCACCCGATTCCGGCAGAGGTTGGAACATGGAGCTGAGTTCACCGGCTGATATTGATGACGCAGCGGAGTTATTCCTGCGTAATATTAACGTGGCGGCGGAATACTCCATGCTTGGCCAACTACCTTGTTTGCCTCGCAGTCAAACTCAGCCTCATTTTAAACCAGAGGTTTTAGATCTGGTAAGGCACAAGAAGCACTGCGTCGTCTAAGGGACTTTAGGCGGGCTGCGTACGAACTGCGAAAGCTGCTGTTTGACATTAAGAGCAAATATTTCCAGGATATGCTCCGCAATGCCGATCCCAATAAGAATCATGGATTCAATTTGTGGAAGGCAACGCGTTGTGTCAAGCGGCAGCCACTCAGGCGGATCCCCATTATGCGACCGGACAACACTTGGTGTCGATCGGATGCAGAGATTGCATCGGCGTTTGCGGATGAGCTGGAAGGTCGCTTCACGCCTTTTGCACTGGCATCACCCAGCCAGGTACAGGATACTGAAACATTTTTAAATGCAGATCTCGATCCTGTACAACCGATCACACCTATCGCCCCTGGTGAGGTCCGCTTACAGATTCGCAGGCTTAAGTCCACTAAGGCCCCTGGCTATGATGGCATTGACGGCAGAGTTGCTAAGGCCCTCCCAGAGAAGGGAGTGATGTTCTTGGTGCTACTTTTTAACTCCATGGTTCGCATCCACCACTTCCCCACTCCGTGGAAGTGTGCTGTGATTGCGATGATTCCGAAACCTGGCAAGCCGGATAATCTTGTCTCGTCATATCGACCGATAAGCTTGCTATCCACTTTCTCCAAGATATTTGAAAAAATATTTCTGGGAAGATTGTCGGCAGTAAGTGGGTTTCAGAGGGCCATTCCTGATCATCAGTTTGGCTTCAGGCATCACCATGGTACACCAGAGCAAGTTCATCGAGTAGTACAGCATGTCTTGGAAAATAAGCAGTACAGCTCTGCCGTCTTTCTGGATATCCAGCAGGCATTTGATCGCGTATGGCATGATGGCCTGCTTTTTAAGCTTAAGTCCTTGCTACCATCGGTGCAGTATTTACTGCTCAGGTCTTACTTACTTGGCCGTTCTTTTATGGTAGAAGTTAGGGGCGAGCGATCAACCATCCGCCGCATTAGAGCGGGTGTACCGCAGGGTAGTGTCCTTGGACCTGCCTTGTACACATTGTACACCGCGGACTTGCCGATCCCAGTAGCCAGAAACACGCTGCTTGCCACATACGCGGATGACACTGTGTTCCTCGCTAACTCCACCACTGCTTGGAGAGCAGCTGCGGTTACGCAGAGGTTCTTGGATGGCTTTAGTACTTGGGCCAACCGGTGGAACATCTGCGTCAACGGGAGCAAGTCTCAGCACTGCACGTTTGCGCTCAGGAATGGTAACTGTCCAACTGTTCGACTCAACAACTTGAGCTTGAGCTTGCTGGTGTACAGGAGCATCATCGTACCCACATGGACATATGGGATTCCATTTTGGGGCACAGCTGCAAAATCTTGGATAAACCAAATTCAAGTCTTGCAGAACAAGGTGCTCAGAGACATCTCTGGTGCTCCCCCATACGTGAGTAACAGGACGCTGCACAACGACTTCGCTCTACCGACAGTCACACAACAAATTAACCGTAATACGAGTCGGTATAATGACCGGTTGTATAACCACATCACTTGGATCTAATACAACGCGCAGGAGGTTGAAACGCCTCCACACCAGCGACCTCTGGACTGTTGGGCGTTAAATTAATGTGCTACAAATGTAATATTTAATGTTATTTATTATCTGCTAAAACCAGTTCTATGTTTATGTTATAGATTTTAATTCACTGCTATTTTTCATTCATACCTTTACAAATCAATGTTTTATAGCCTTTCAATAGGTTGATTAATGTTTAAATAAATTGCTACATAAAAAAAAAAGAAAAAAAAAAAGCCTGACATTTTCTGTTATAACTAAACTGAGTTGACACGATTACGAAAGCCCATGTAACATACATTCATATATATAGTTCATTATATATATATATAAATATATACATATATATTTAAACAAATAACATTAAATGCGCTTAGTAAACGATTTAGCCTTATAAAAATGCATAGAACACATAATAGTTAATAACAATAATATTGAAAGCGACACAACACTAAAATGTAAACTTAGTCAACTGAACTAAAACAGACTCAAAGTGGAACATAAGAATCGAGAAGCGAGAGTGAAGCTGTTGTTAATCTAGCCCCGATGCTAGGCCCGCAGTAGTAGTAGTACGTATTTACGAGTGTAAAATTCAGAAATGCAAAATAACAATTTAACAATTTTTAGTAAGCCTACTATTAATGAAAATGCATTAACAACTTACACATATTTTACCTTTAATGCGTACACTTAGTACATGTTTTGAAGCAAAACTTATAAAAAAAAAAAACCAGAAATAGGATTGATAAAAAATTATATATGAGTGAGTTTTTGTATTTACGTTGAGCTGGAGCAGGAATATCGTGAAGAGGACAATACCTGCAGGACTCAGAGAAAACAACCGAACTGCATTCAAGGATTATGAAGTCATCTAAGAATCTAAACACTCGAAAATGTTATTATGCATTATGAAGTTCCATTCATTCGCCAGTTCACCAGATATTTGATCATTTTTGTAGGTAACCAGAATCTATATATCCCAAGAGTGAAATGAAATAATTGCTCAGCGAATATTATTCTTTTGTCCAAATACCGTAAAAAGCAGTTCTTCTTGCCAAAAAGCTTCTTCGACTCGACTTATCGATAATCAATAAGCAAAACTGAAAAGCCTTGTTTACATTTACATTCATGCATATATTGGATATTGACAGCAATGTCAAATAAGCCATCAATTTTTTAAAATTTCAAAATGTCATTTTGATCGAAATGTTAACATAGAAATTTACCTTGTCACAAATATCAATTGATAAAATTATTTGCTTGTGAGCGGATTTAGTTTTTTTCTTACGCATTTTGCAGACTTCTGTTCTGTGTTGCAGTCTCAAGAGCAAAAACATATAATATTATATAATTTATATAATTGTATAATATTATATAATTATATATTGTAGCAGAGAAAAAGGTGCAGCTGATAAATGGTAAATCAAACATTGCGAAAAGGAAGAAACTAAAAGCAACCAATTATCAATTCACAGTTGACAATAATTTGCTGAGGACGAGAAGCCTCGGGCTTGTGTCTGACATTATTGAAGTTGTGGTTTGAGGTTTGTGGTTGGCTTTGGTTTTTGGGACAAAATAAGCACCCGAAGCATCAACAAGTTATTTGATTTTTAAAAATAATAATATATATAAATATATATATATCCATATATCTCCATATAATATAGAACATAAGAACAATGGCATCCAACAAACCAGTCAATGGCGTCGTCCAGCCACCGACTGTGCAGCGGTTGGATCGACCGGGACGCCATACAAATCAACTGGAATATATCTTAAAAACGGTTATGAAGTCCTTGTGGAATCATCATTATGCGTATCCCTTCCAACAGCCGGTCAATGCGAAAAAACTAAAGCTGCCCGACTACCATGATATCATTAAACAGCCAATGGACTTGGCTACGATTAAGAAGCGATTGGCGAACAGTTACTATTGGTCCGCCAGGAGGCTGCCGCCGATATAAACTTGATATTCACCAATTGTTCCCTGTACAATAAGCCCACAGAGGATGTTATCATTATGGCCAAAGTGCTCGAGAGTGTCTTTCTGCAGGCAATCAAAGATATGCCCAAGGAGGAGCTCGAACTGGGGTCCGTCGCGGTCAAGCGGGGCAACAACAATCAACGCGCACCGACCTCCCCTAAAACAGCAGCATCTGCGGCGGCAGCGATGGCAGCCGTCCAAAGCGCAAATAATAGCAGGAATAGCAGCAACAGCATCAGCACCAAGAGTAAGAATTTAACACTGGCAGCAACAACAGCAAAAACAGTAACAGCAACAACGACAGGAAAAGCGTCAGAATCCTCCAGGGCACAAAAGCTGGTGGCGGTAGCAGCAGCGGCAGCCCAAGTCCAGGCAGCAGCATCAGCATCAGTAGCAGCTGCAAAAGTGCTGGCAGCGGCAGTTGCAGCATTGGATGGTGATCCCATAATGGCCATCCAGCCGACTCTGAATAGTATGGGTCAAAATGCCGTCCAGCCCGTCCAAATGCAGAAGGGCGTCAAACGAATTGCGGACGCGAATGCATTTGAATCGCACATGGCCAAGGTGGCCAAAACAGCCATGAGGCAGGAAGATAAGAGCCATAACTGATGCAAAAGTTTCTCCTTTATCGCTTTATCGCTACTTATTAATGTCTGCACTTAGCTGTTGCTTCTCATGGTTAGACATGGGCTTGACTGTGTTCTTCTTCTCGGCGCCAACAGCTACAGTACCGGCGTTGCTGGCATTATTGTCATTGTTCTCGGTGCGTCTGGCATTTGTGGTGCCTCCACCAGTTGTGGCAGCCGCAGTTGCATTTGCAGCGATAGCCACTGCATTCGCAGCATTGGCACCCGCTGGGCCTGCTCCACTGACGCTCGCATTGCCCTTGCCTCCACGCTGTCCCTGGCTTTTAGCACCTTTGCTGGTGCCACAAGAGCCGCCAGCTCTGGCCGCAACACCAGCTGCGAGGGAGCTCGCCAGTGCATTAGCGTGCGCTTTACCACCCCCAGCTGAAATACCCACGCCCGGATTAACGCCTGCCTAACCGCCGGCACCCGCTCTTCCGGCAAGAGAAGGTACAGGCTTGAGTAAAGACCAGGCGTTGCCGCGCGGATACCCTACCGAGCCCTGCAAAGTAAAAATAATAATAAGCAAAATATTATTTTGCTTATATAATGCGGAGTACACCTGCTGACAGAAAATATTTAATTGTTAAGTTAAGCGACCGACCGATAACTATGGTAGTTATATAAATGATGTAGTAGTCAGATCGTACTAATGGATAATTTAACAGGAAACAAATATGGATATTTAAAGAATAATAGAGGCGGACATGGCCATATGGACTTGACTATTAACGCCGATCTAGATTCTAGAATATATGCACTTTGTCGAGTCGATCAAATCTGTAATATCATAAGAGCCTTGGCAAAAGCAGTTGAAAACGATGCGAAAGACTCGGAAAAGTAAGCACGAGAACCAAGTAGTGCGATAAAGCGATAAAGGAGAAACTTTTGCATCAGTTATGGCTCTTATCTTCCTGGCAATTATCGTCCTGCCTCATGGCTGTTTTGGCCACCTTGGCCATGTGCGATTCAAATGCATTCGCGTCCGCAATTCGTTTGACGCCCTTCTGCATTTGGACGGGCTGGACGGCATTTTGACCCATACTATTCAGAGTCGACTGGATGGCCATTATGGGATCACCATCCAATGCTGCAACTGCCGCTGCCAGCACTTTTGCAGCTGCTACTGATGCTGATGCTGCTGCCTGGACTTGGGCTGCCGCTGCTGCTACCGCCACCAGCTTTTGTGCCCTGGAGGATTCTGACGCTCTTCCTGTCGTTGTTGCTGTTGCTGTTTTTTGCTGTTGTTGCTGCCAGTGTTAAATTCTTACTCTTGGTGCTGATGCTGTTGCTGCTATTCCTGCTATTATTTGCGCTTTGGACGGCTGCCATCGCTGCCGCCGCAGATGCTGCTGTTTTAGGGGAGGTCGGTGCGCGTTGATTTTTGTTGCCTTGCTTGACCGCGACGGACCCCAGTTCGAGCTCCTCCTTGGGCATATCTTTGATTGCCTGCAGAAAGACACTCTCGAGCACTTTGGCCATAATGATAACATCCTCTGTGGGCTTATTGTACAGGGAACAATTGGTGAATATCAAGTTTATATCGGCGGCAGCCTCCGTGGCGGACCAATAGTAACTGTTCGCCAATCGCTTCTTAATCGTAGCCAAGTCCATTGGCTGTTTAATGATATCATGGTAGTCGGGCAGCTTTAGTTTTTTCGCATTGACCGGCTGTTGGAAGGGATACGCATAATGATGATTCCACAAGGACTTCATAACCGTTTTTAAGATATATTCCAGTTGATTTGTATGGCGTCCCGGTCGATCCAACCGCTGCACAGTCGGTGGCTGGACGACGCCATTGACTGGTTTGTTGGATGCCATTGTTCTTATGTTCTATATTATATGGAGATATATGGATATATATATATTTATATATATTATTATTTTTAAAAATCAAATAACTTGTTGATGCTTCGGGTGCTTATTTTGTCCCAAAAACCAAAGCCAACCACAAACCTCAAACCACAACTTCAATAATGTCAGACACAAGCCCGAGGCTTCTCGTCCTCAGCAAATTATTGTCAACTGTGAATTGATAATTGGTTGCTTTTAGTTTCTTCCTTTTCGCAATGTTTGATTTACCATTTATCAGCTGCACCTTTTTCTCTGCTACAATATATAATTATATAATATTATACAATTATATAAATTATATAATATTATATGTTTTTGCTCTTGAGACTGCAACACAGAACAGAAGTCTGCAAAATGCGTAAGAAAAAAACTAAATCCGCTCACAAGCAAATAATTTTATCAATTGATATTTGTGACAAGGTAAATTTCTATGTTAACATTTCGATCAAAATGACATTTTGAAATTTTAAAAAATTGATGGCTTATTTGACATTGCTGTCAATATCCAATATATGCATGAATGTAAATGTAAACAAGGCTTTTCAGTTTTGCTTATTGATTATCGATAAGTCGAGTCGAAGAAGCTTTTTGGCAAGAAGAACTGCTTTTTACGGTATTTGGACAAAAGAATAATATTCGCTGAGCAATTATTTCATTTCACTCTTGGGATATATAGATTCTGGTTACCTACAAAAATGATCAAATATCTGGTGAACTGGCGAATGAATGGAACTTCATAATGCATAATAACATTTTCGAGTGTTTAGATTCTTAGATGACTTCATAATCCTTGAATGCAGTTCGTTTGTTTTCTCTGAGTCCTGCAGGTATCTGGCATTGTCCTCTTCACGATATTCCTGCTCCAGCTCAACGTAAATACAAAAACTCACTCATATATAATTTTTTATCAATCCTATTTCTGGTTTTTTTTTTTTATAAGTTTTGCTTCAAAACATGTACTAAGTGTACGCATTAAAGGTAAAATATGTGTAAGTTGTTAATGCATTTTCATTAATAGTAGGCTTACTAAAAATTGTTAAATTGTTATTTTGCATTTCTGAATTTTACACTCGTAAATACGTACTACTACTACTGCGGGCCTAGCATCGGGGCTAGATTAACAACAGCTTCACTCTCGCTTCTCGATTCTTATGTTCCACTTTGAGTCTGTTTTAGTTCAGTTGACTAAGTTTACATTTTAGTGTTGTGTCGCTTTCAATATTATTGTTATTAACTATTATGTGTTCTATGCATTTTTATAAGGCTAAATCGTTTACTAAGCGCATTTAATGTTATTTGTTTAAATATATATGTATATATTTATATATATATATAATGAACTATATATATGAATGTATGTTACATGGGCTTTCGTAATCGTGTCAACTCAGTTTAGTTATAACAGAAAATGTCAGGCTTTTTTTTCCTTTTTTTTTTATGTAGCAATTTATTTAAACATTAATCAACCTATTGAAAGGCTATAAAACATTGATTTGTAAAGGTATGAATGAAAAATAGCAGTGAATTAAAATCTATAACATAAACATAGAACTGGTTTTAGCAGATAATAAATAACATTAAATATCACATTTGTAGCACATTAATTGATCGCCCAGTTCAGAGGTAGCTGGTGTGGAGGCGTTTCAACCTCCTGCGCGTTGTATTAGATCCAAGTGATGTGGTTATACAACCGGTCATTATACCGACACGTATTACGGTTAATTTGTTGTGCGACTGTCTGTAGAGCGAAGGCGTTGTGCAGCGTCCTGTTACTTACGTATGGGGTAGCACCAGAGATGTCTCTGAGCACCTTGTTCTGCAAGACTTGAATTTGGTCTATCCAAGATTTTGAAGCTGTGCCCCAAAATGGAATCCCATATGTTCATGTGAGTACGATGATGCTCCTGTACACCAGCAAGCTCAAGCTCAAGTTGTTGAGTCGAACAGTAGGACAGTTACCATTCCTGAGCGCAAACGTGCAATGCTGAGACTTGCTCCCGTTAACGCAGATGTTCCACCGGTTGGCCCAAGTACTAAAGCCATCCAAGAACCTCTGCGTAACCGCAGCTGCTCTCCAAGCAGTGGTGGAGCTAGCGAGGAACACAGTGTCATCCGCGCATGTGGCAAGCAGTGTGTTTCTGGCTACTGGGATCGGCAAGTCCGCGGTGTACAATGTGCACAAGGCAGGTCCAAGGACATTACCCTGCGGTACACCCGCTCTAATGCGGCGGATGGTTGATCGCTCGCCCCTAACTTCTACCATAAAAGCCAAGCAGGTAAGACCTGAGCAGTAAATACTGCACCGATGGTAGCAGGGACTTAAGCTTAAAAAGCAGGCCATCATTCCATACGCGATTAAATACTTGCTGGATATCCAGGCAGACGGCAGAGCAGTACTGTTTATTTTCCAAGACATGCTGTACTACTCAATGAACTTGCTCTGGTGTACCATGGTGATGCCAGAAGCCAAACTGATGATCAGGAATGGCCCTCTGGAAGTCACTTACTGCCGACAATCTTCCCAGAAATATTTTTTCAAATATCTTGGAGAAAGTGGATAGCGAGCTTATCGGTCGATATGCCGAGACAAGATTATCCGGCTTGCCAGGTTTCGGAATCATCGCAATCACAGCACACTTCCACGGAGTGGGAAAGTGATGGATGCGAACCATGGTGTTAAAAAGTAGCACCAAGAACATCACTCCCTTCTCTGGGAGGGCCTTAGCAACTCTGCCGTCAATGCCATCATAGCCAGGGGCCTTAGTGGACTTAAGCCTGCGAATCTGTAAGCGGACCTCATCAGGGGCGATAGGCGTGTTCGGTTGTACAGGATCGAGATCTGCATTTAAAAATGTTTCAATATTCTGTACCTGGCAGGGTGATGCAAGTGCAAAAGGCGTGAAGCGACCTTCCAGCTCATCCGCAAACGCCGGTGCAATCTCTGCATCCGATCGACACCAAGTATTGTCCGGTCGCATAATGAGGATCCGCCTGAGTGGCTGCCGCTTGACACAACGCGTTGCCTTCCACAAATTGAATCCATGATTCTTATTGGGATCGGCATTGCGGAGCATATCCTGGAAATATTTGCTCTTAATGTCAAAGAACAGCTTTCGCAGTTCGTACGCAGCCCGCCTAACGTCCCTTAGATCCAAAGGATTGCGTGAGCGCATATATATATTGACGACGCAGTGCTCTCTTGTACCTTAACAGATCTAAGACCTCTGGTTTTAAAAGAGGCGGATATGGCCTGGGAGGTGAACAAGGTAGTTGGCCAAGCATGGAGTATTCCGCCGCCACGTTAATATTACGCAGGAATAACTCCGCTGCGTCATCAATATCAGCCGGTGAACTCAGCTCCATGTTAAAGTTGACAAGCTGCTCCAACATCTGCCGGAGTCGGGTGATGTTTGCCTTGCGCGGCAGAAGACGTATCTTGGGAGCATTCAGAGCTGCAGCCACTCTGTACTCAACGATCAAAAGGATGTGATCGGAGTTAAGCTCAATTCTCTCGGATATACCAAGACAGTATGACCGGATTCCAGCGTAGACAGCAAAGTCAATTGCTGTTGGCCTATGGTTGCCGTACGAGTAGTGTGTTGCACCTCCCGTGGCAAGTACTTGGAGGTTGGAGTCTCTCACGTAATTCGCAAGCGCAATCCCACGGCGAGTGTCCAACGCTGCACCCCAGAGATGGTGTTGAGCATTCCAGTCTCCAGCAATCAGGAACTTGGGGCCAAGCTCTTCGAAGAGACACTTAAAGTCTTCTATTCCCCACACAAAACGTGGTGGACAATAGACAGCCGCTTGGAATACTTCGCCTTGATCACTAGAGACTTTAACGACAGCACATTAAGCGCATGGCCAACTTAATGAAGTCAGGCATGGTATTGCAGTGAAGATTTTATGATCACTGCTGCTCCGCCACGCATGCGATCCGAAGGATGATTGGCAAGGTGAATATCGTAGCCTGGTAGCCTGTAGTGCGATCTGGAGCAGTAGTGAGACTCGCAGACCAACATTACATCTATTTGATGGCGTTGAGACAATTCTAGTGTATTGGACACCATAGATAAAATAGGTCGCGGTGCAGCTTCCCCCAATGCGCAAATTTCATTTGCCATATCCAGGATAAAGGCTCCATATGAGTCCATCCGTGGCCTGTTAAAATATATATATACGTAGTCATATTTATCTGCATAACTTGTTTAGA